CTCGAACTCGCAGTGATCCTCCTGCCTCAGCCTCCCAAGTGCTGGGATTACAGGCATGCACCACCATGCCTGGCGCTTTTTTTTTTTTTTTTTTTGTACTGAGAATTGAACTCAGGACCTTGTACTTGCCAGGCAGGCACTGTGCCACTGAGCTGTATCCCTTGCCCCTTCTTAAAATTTTAAAACAAGGTCTTAATAAATTGTTGGGTTGTCCAGGCTGGGCTCAAACTTGCAGTCTTTCTACCTCAGCCTCCCAGAGTACTGGGAAATAAAGACATGTCCCACCATTCCGAGTTTAAATGAATCTTTTTTGGGGGGCTACCAGGAATCAAACTCAGGACTTTGTGCTTGCCAGGCAGGCACTTTGCCACCGAGCTATCTCCCCAGCCTAAATTAATCTTTTAAATTTAACAATTTAGGTTTGGATGTAGCTCAGTGATAGAGCACTTGCCTAGATGCATGAGGCCTTGGATTCAATCCCCAGTATTACATACACAAAAAAGGAAAAGCAAAAAAGAAAGAAAACCAGTGAATAATTCAATGGGATTCACAGAGTTCTGCCACCATGATGACCAGTCAAAACATTTCCATCTTTCCACAGGAAAACCTATTTTCTGTTGAGCAGTTATTCTCCACTCCCTGCTACTCTCAGCTTTTGGCAACCATTGATTTGCTTTCTTACTCTAAGGACATATCTGCTGTGAATCTTTCCTAGAAATAAGATCATACAATATGAGAGTTTTGTATGTGTTTTCTCTGTGTGTGTGTTTATGTGTGTGTGCTAGAGCTCCTTACATTTATAAATTACCCAGTCTAGGCTCAAACTTGTGATCCTCCTGCCTCATCCTCCCAGAGTTCTGGGAATACAGGTGTATGTTTACTTTTGTGGGGAATCAACACTTGTGTTCTGCAGTGGTTGGACCGTTTTGCTTTCCCGCCAGCAGTGTAAGCGGGTTCCTATTGCTCCGCATCCTTATCAGCATTTATTGTTTTGTGTTTTAATTATGCTCACCACTCCAGTGGGTGTGAAGCAATACCTCACTGTGCTTTTGATCTGCATTTCCCTAGTGACTAACAACGTTGGATTTTCATTTCCCCAGTGGCGCATCTTCTCATGTGCTTGTTGGATTTTGTGGGTATATATCTTTTTAAATTGCCCACTTATTATACTTTTGCTGGGATTTGGGGGAGGGAATAAAATTAAACATTTGTATTTAATGTACCATTATTATCCAGAAATCCTCTTCCCCAGCCTTTCTGCTTCTGAGATGCTTAGAGTGGGGAAGAGGGAGGAATAGGGAGGAGTGTGAGGTGTGTACTGTAGTAAAGAGCCTTAACCCCAGCATCAAAGGACTATGACTCCAGACAGTTCTGTTAAGAGCTTTCTGTGTGACTTGGGGTAAGTCACTACCCCTCTCTGAATTTTGTTTTCCTCAACTATGTTTGGCATGAGATCTTTAAAATTCTTTATATTTCTCATGTTATAAAGATCTATGTGGCCAGGTGTGGTGGTGCCTGTAATCCCAGCACTTGGGAGGATGAAGCAGGGGGATCTCTGCAAGTCTGAGGTCAGCCTTGGCTACAAAGTGAGTTCAAGGCCAGTTTGAACTGCATAGTGAGACTCTGTCTCAAAAAGATTAAAAAGCAGGGTGTGGTGGTGCACACTTGTAATCCCAGCACTCTAGAAGGCTGAGGCAGGAGGATTGCAAGTTTGAACCCAACCTAGGCAATTTACAGACTTAGTGAGACCCTGCCTCAAAAATAAATAGCCAGGCACGGTGGTGCATGCCTGTAATCACAGCACTCGGGAGGCTGAGGCAGGAGGATCCTTGCGAGCTCGAGACCAGCCTGGGCTACAAAGTGAGCTCGAGGCCAGCCTGAACTGCAGAGTGAGACCCTGTCTCAAAAAAAAAAAAAAAGGAAAAGTAAAGAAAAAGGTCTGTATGGGCTGAGAGGCCTTGATTCTTTCTCCAATAAAAGTTATTTGTGTGTGGCATATGTGTGTTTCATGAGTGTGTGCGTTTTCGTGTGTGTATGAGTGTATGTGTGTATGTACATTGCGTGTGTGTGTGTAAGCACTAGTGTATGTGTGCTCACATAGAGGCCACAGGGCTGTCCTGCCCCCCGACTCCCCCCTCCTGGATTCTCTCCGCAGTGGAACACACGGGCCAAGCGGGAGAAGCTGACGGAGCTGATGTTCGAACAATACAACATCCCCGCTTTCTTCTTATGCAAGACAGCCGTGCTCACTGCGTATCCTTTGCGGTGAATGGCTGAACCTGAGTGGGGGGCCCAGGTGGAGTGCATGGGTTGCTGAGGTGGAGGCTGGGCCTGTTTCTCTGGAGCCCCCAGGTGGAAGGACGCCTCCTTTACCCCCATGGCGCAAGAGGCCCCGGCCTTAGCGCCTGGCTCCCTGCAGGCCAGAATAGCCAACTTTCCCCATTCTTCTTTGGATCCGGCTAAGCAGAGAGGGTTGGAGCAAGGAGATAGCAAGGGCCAGGGCTGGAGGGGAGGGAGTCTGACACTGAGGTGCTTCCTGCCCAAACAGCCAGTCAGCACTGAGTCGTTCCAGATATGCTTTGCGTTGATCCTGTGCCAGGCACCAGGGTAATGGAGACCCTAACTTGGAGGAGTCTACCGGACACAGAGCCAGGAATAAGGAGGGGCTGGGCTCTCAGCGGGGACTGGGAAGAAGTGACTGAGGTCCCAGGAGCCCATCTTCAGGAGATGGGTCGTAAACTAAAAGGAGACTTGAAGGTGGGGGTTGGGGTGGGCTGGAGCTGGGAAACGGGAGGGACCAGGCAAGGTCCGGGTCCCGCTCTCCTCCCTGGCTACTGCTGTCTCTTTGACCCAGCCTTGCCAGCTTTGCAAACGGACGCTCCACAGGCCTCGTGCTGGACAGTGGGGCCACCCACACCACGGCCATCCCAGTACACGATGGCTATGTCCTCCAGCAAGGTGGGACCTGGGCAGGGGTCAGGGTTGCCCAGAGAAGGCCACACCTTGACACTGCCCCCCCTTCCAGGCATCGTGAAATCACCCTTGGCAGGGGACTTCATCTCCATGCAGTGCCGGGAGCTCTTCCAGGAAATGGCTATTGACATCATCCCCCCTTACATGATCGCAGCCAAGGTGGGGAGCCCAGAGCTACCACCCTAGAATCCTGGCACTTGCCCTACACCTGTCGGCCCACTGACCCGTGGGACTGCACAGCAGAGAGCAGCAGGCCCCCTAGAAGATTAAGGGCCCGGTTCCTCGTTTTACAACTGAGGCATCAGAGATCCAGATAGGGTGAGGGACGTGGCTGAGGTCATACCATCAGCTGGCAGATGGATGTGTGAGGGCCTGTGTGGTAGCTTCCGGTGGCTTCCAACAGGCCCAAGCACAAATTCTGCCTCTGCCACCGAAGAGCTGTGTGACCCAGAGCATGATACTAGAGCCTCGGTTTCTCTCCTGTAAAGTAGAGCAACAGTGGAGAGTGACACCACATCCAAAAGGTCCCCCCAAGTCCCTCCAGAGAATGTGGCCCAGCCAAAGGCCTGTCCCACATGTCCTCGGCTTTCTCTGATCGGAGCCTTTCAATCACCCGTACCCTGGCGTGTTCAGTGCACATGCGGACAGACTCGCCCTGTACTCTTTGCTCTGTTCAGGGAAGGGTGGGAAACTCTTCCAAGGAGCAGAGCAGAGCCCACTCCCACCCCCACGCAAGTGCTACCTGTGGGTGTGGCCAGGTAGCCTGGACAGGCACAGCCAGGAGGCACGCTCAGAGGCCCTGCCTCCACAGGAGCCCGTACGGGAGGGCGCACCCCCAAACTGGAAGAAGAAGGAGAAGCTACCCCAAGTCTCCAAGTCCTGGCATAACTACATGTGCAATGTGAGGCACTGGAGAGGGTCCCCCGAAGCAGCTCCCCTCCCCAGGTCTTGTTCCCCTGTTGAGTCGGGGGAAGAGTGCATTCCCTGCAGTGGAGGCAAGGCAGGGTGGGGGTGGGTGTTCCGGAGGGACCCAGGCCCTCACCCCTCCCTGGTTCTCAGGAGGTGATCCAGGACTTCCAGGCCTCGGTGCTACAGGTCTCGGACTCCCCCTATGATGAACAGTGAGTGGGGCCCCCAGTACTGGGGGGGGCAGCAGAACTGGGGTTCTGGGGGACCTTTGGTGCCGCCTACCCAGCAGTCCTCCATGAGCACCCCGGCAAGAGTCTTGCTGCTTCCTGGGCAGGGTGGCCGCGCAAATGCCCACAGTGCACTATGAGATGCCCAACGGCTACAACACAGACTATGGCGCTGAGCGACTCCGTATCCCCGAGGGCCTGTTTGATCCCTCCAACGTCAAGGTCTGGCTGCCTGGTGATTGGGGTAGGGGTGGCTGGACCCCTGAGTCTTGGGGTGTAGGAGAGGCTGGGAAGGATTGCAGGGATCAGAGGAGAGGGCCCAGGGGGCCCAAAGCCCAGGTTGCCTTTGTCCACAGGGCCTGTCAGGGAACACCATGTTAGGCGTGGGCCACGTGGTGACCACCAGCATCGGCATGTGTGACATCGACATTCGCCCGGTGAGGCTTGGCCGTAAGGGACCCAGGAACAGTGGAGGCAGGGAGGGCTGTGCCCTGCAGGCTCACTCCTCTTCCCTGCTCTCAGGGCCTGTATGGTAGTGTCATTGTCACCGGTGGGAATACACTGCTGCAGGGCTTCACAGACAGGCTCAACCGAGAGCTTTCCCAGAAGACCCCACCGGTAGGAGCCTAGCCCTCCCCCAGGTCCCCCAGGCTCAGCCCTTCAGCACCAAGCATGGAGTGCTCAGACCTGCCCCGTGGCTTCCTCCCACCTCCCAAGCCCTGTCCCTTCCAGAACCTAAATGTCTGCTTCTCCCAGCAACTTTCTCCTCGCAGAGCATGCGGCTGAAGCTCATCGCCAGCAACAGCACCATGGAGCGCAAGTTCAGCCCGTGGATTGGGGGCTCCATCTTGGCCTCACTGGTGAGAGAGAAGGGGTCTGATCTAACGAGAATGTGGGGAAGGGGACTCAGACAGCTCCCACTGCCTTGGCCGCCCATCCATTCATTCAACAAACATTTATTCTGAGATAGGGCAGTCTGCGATTGCTCTCAGAAGGCTGAATGCTATTAGGACACGGATCAGGGAGCAGAGGGAGAGGAAGCTGGAGATATGGGTTGTGATGAGGCTGTGATGAGACACCACTGGCCCCATTGAGCAGAGGGGACACCCTGGAGGTGGACCCGAGGGAAGGAGGTGACGCTGATAGGCAGATCAGCAAAGACTGTCAAGAACCCACTTTGAGATTGCAGTGGAGGCTGGGGCCCCCGGGCCTGTGCAGGGCGGCTCTTTCCATTGTCTGGAACTCACTGAGTGGGTAGTAGCTGGTGTGTGAAGAGGGATGGGCACCTGGAAGGAGAGGCAGGCGGGTTGATCCTGGGGCAGGAGGCAGTGAGTTCAGTGTGGACCAGCTGCTGGAACAGAAGACAGATGTTGAGCAGGGAGCTGGAGGTGCACACGGGTCCCACACACAGGGGACAGCAGGACGTGTCAGGACAAGGACATCCAGTACAAGAAGGTCCCAAGGAGACCGGAAGGAGGGTAAAAATGCAGAGACTGACAGTATGAACTTAGCTGTGGGCTGGGTCGTGTTAGCCACACAGTTATTAAGGGCTCTCCCTGTGGCTGAAGTAGACAGAGAGCCTGACGCAGTCCCTGCCTTTATGACAGTCAGAAGCTGAGACAAGTAAACAGAAAGTCCCCAGATAGTGTGCAGGGAGCATCTGATACATTTTGGGTGTGTTTTTGTTTTTGTTTTTGGTACAGGGGATTAAACCCAGGGGCTTCACACAGAGCTACATCCCTAGCCCTTTTCATGTTCTGTTGTAAGACAGCGTCTCATTAAGTTGCCCAAGTTGGGCTGGAACATCCAGTCCTCCTGTCTCAGCCTTCTAGAGTGCTGGGAGCACAGGTGTGTGCACACCACACCTTATTCATGTTGAGGGTCTTACGAGGCATCAAAACTGACGTGGGAAGAGGAAGAAGAACTTCGGGCAAAGACGCAAAGAGAGCGCTCAGACTGTAGCGAGAATAAGACAAGGCCCAAAGACAGATGCAGCCTGATCTGCGTTTTAGGAAGCCCACGTGGACTGTAGAGTGGTGAGAGAAAGGCGACAGACAAAAGGCAGGAACAGGGCCACAGGGTGTGACAGTCATGGGTATCAGCCAGTGGCATTAGGGCTTACTTAGAGGTTCATGGACAGGAGGGAGACACTGTGCATGCGGATGAGGGCAGCATGAGCCGATGGGAGTGCTGGGGCAGTGCTATCCAGTGGGAAGGCAATGGGAGTCACATACTTAATTGTACATTTTCTCGTAGCCGTAATTAAAGAGAGGACAAAGAAACAGGTGAAATAAATTCTTAAGAACACCCATTAGCTGGGCTGTGGTGGCGCATGGCTGTAACCCCAGGACTTGGGGGGCCGAGCTATAAGGATCAGCACAAGTTCAAGGCCAGCTTGTACTACACAGTGAGTTCAAGACCAGCTTGAACTGCACAGCAAGAGCCTATCTCAAAAAACCCAAACAACCAAAAATAGAACATACTTTATAGCTAGGTTTGGAGGTACATACCTATAACCCCAACACTTGGGAGGCTGAGGTAGGAGGGTTATAAGGCCAGCCTGGGCTATGTAGTGAGTTCAAGACAAGTCTGGAGGCCAGCTGTGGTAGCACATGCCTGTAGTTTTAGCCTCAGGAGCTGAGACAGGAAGATCACTGTGAGATCAAGGCCAGCCTGGAGTATATAATAAGTTCAAAGCCAGTCTGAACTATATAGTGAGACCAACTCTCAAAAAAAAAACCACCCTCCCAAAAAAGGACAAGCCTGGACTATGAAGAAAGACTGTCTCAGAATACAAAAAAGAACAAAATATACTTTATTTAATCCAATATATCCAAAATATTACCATGTCAATGTATAATCAATATAAAAAATTCTTTTTGTTTGTTTTGGGGGTTTATTTTTTTGAAGACAGGGTCTTGCTTTATAGTCCTGTCAGGTCTTGAACTCACTGTGTAGCGCAGGGTAGCCTCAAACTCTCAGCAATCCTCCTGTCTCAGCTTCCTGAGTGCTGGGATTACAGGTATGTGTCACCACATCTGGCTAAAAAATTCTTAGTGTGATATTTTACATTCTTTTTCTATACTTAGTCATCAACACCCAGCATACATTTTCCACATAGAGCACATCTCCATATGGACTGTCCACATTTCAAGTACTCAGTGGGTGAATGAGACCAGCGGCCACTGAATGGGGTAGCACAGGCTTAGAGGGTGAGAAGGGCCGCAGAAGAGGCAGGCTGGGGGTGGGGAGCCTGGAGAAGGTGGTGAATGAAGTCCGGATGTGTTAAATTTGGGGTCCAGAGGGATGCTGGGATGGGGGGCACACAGACAGGAACCTCCAGGAGGAGACACAGCAGCCACCTGAGGAGAAGTGACAGTGAGAGGCTCCTAATGCTGGACACAAAGGACAGGCTTCTGTAGGGGTGCTCGGCAGTGGGGCACCAGGGCGGAGACAGTTCCATCCAGAAGTTAGGTGTGTCACATGCTATGTGTGTGGTGTGTGCCGTGATGGCGGGGAGAGGGGACCTGGAGGGATGTCATTGGCTGGCCTGGCCTGGGCTGTAAGTGCCCAGGGAAGATAGCTGCTCAATAAATGCTTGTTGAACGAATGGCCTTGATCTGTTCGATCTCTGGGTATTCGCCCTCTTAGTGCACAGGCGGGAGGGTGAGCCTGGAAGGATGAATCTAGGAGACAGCGGGCTGGGAGGACGCAGGGCTTCCACAGGGCCACCTTCGCCCCTGCCCCGAGGGCCATTCTAACTGGCAGACCTCGCCCCTTCTCCTCCCAGGGCACTTTCCAGCAGATGTGGATCTCCAAGCAGGAGTACGAGGAGGGCGGGAAGCAGTGCGTGGAGCGGAAGTGCCCTTGAGGGCGGCCTCTTCTCACGCGCGTGCACCTGCAGCGCAGCGCTGGGACCTGGGGTCGGAGAGGGCTGTTTCCGGGCCAGGACGCCAAGAGCGCAGATCTAAGCTCCTCGACCCCGCTGCTCACACCGCCCCGTTCTTTCCTTCTTGTCCTCTTTAGATTGTGATGTTCCTGAGTTGAAAGAAGTAAAGATGTTTTAAGAAAAAAAAAAAAAAGTCTGGTCTCTTGTGGGGCACGTGGGACCTAGAAGGAGGCGAGGGAAGGGCTGCACCTACATTCGTGCCCGATTCCGCGACGGGCCTGGGGAACACGGATTCCTTAGGTTTCAGGGGGAACTTGATGCAGAGACGACCATACCGGGAGCACCCAGGGATGTGCAGAGCTGGGGCGCGGGGACTGGAGAGGGGCGGGGCCAGTCTGGGTGGGGCGGGGCCTGAGTGGGCGGGGCCAGAGGCGGGCCCCAAGGGGGTTTAGGTATCCAAAGAGCCCTTGCCCCAGCACCTCAGGACCTGCCCCTCAGGTGAGCCCGCTGCGCCGTCTTCCTTCCCTGGCTCCGGCTTAGATAGGTGTGGGACGGGGACTGGGTCACTGATGAGCCCCGAAGGCTCAGATCTTCTCTCCAGACCCAGGTAGGAGCTGAGGTTTCCGGGCGGAGCCGGCAGAGCGGTGAAGCGAGGGGGCGTGGACCCTGAGCCTTCTTATTCAGGGCTGTTTGCCTAAGGGTCCTCTGCCGGGCTTGGAACCCAGAGCACCCTGCTTGAAATTGTAAGGGAAACGTAGGTGTTTCTGGGGCGAGGTCACCTGGCCTTCCCTCAGACTCTGAGTCCTCAAAGGACTCTCCAAGGTGTCGCCAAGTCCTTCGGTGACCAAGAGTCGCGGTGCTCGGGGAGAACCATGACTTGTCCAAGGTCGTACAACTCTGCCCACGCCTTGGCCGGGACCCTTTCTGCCTCCCTCAAGCCTGGTGGCCTCTGACCCGCAGATCCCTGACCCAGGACCCCTGTCCTGAGCCTCACTGGTCTCTCCAGACTACGATTATCCCTCGTGTCCCTTCCACCCTTGCAGCCAGCAGAGGTCAGATTCCAAAGAGACGGCCGCCCATGCGGCCAGACCAAAGCCTGGGTCACGCTGCTGTGGTGGCTGCAGCTCAGGACCCCGGGGGCGGGCGTCAGGGCAGGCGGAGCATCGGACGTGCCACAGGGCCTGGCCTTGGGGTCTGTAAGCCAGAGCAGGAGGGGGCAGATATCTTCATGGTGGACCTGCCATGGGAGTGGGAGGCTTTGGAAGGGGTCCCCAAGAACACTGCGAAGGGTGGAAGCAGGAGAGGAGAGAGGGGTACCCATATCTCCCCCTTCCCCCTTGCTTTCAGCTCCCTCCCCCACTCCTGACCCCTGACGGGAACTCAGAGGCCAAAGTCTGCCCCAAGGTGAAAAAAAAATTGATTGTTTTGCGGAGAGGGGGCAGGGGTGGGGCTGTTGTGGCAAGACAGGGCACAGCCCCTGGTGCTCTGGGGGGCAGGGGGCTGGTGGGAATGCTGGACAGAGGCCAGGCCTGCGCTCCCACCCCTGTGTGAGCGGAGTGAGGAGCGGCCTGGGCTCGGACTGCCTGCCTGCAGGCTGATAAGGGGCCCCTGGGGCTCTCACAAACGGTTTATCGCTGGGGGGGCGGGGTAGCCTGCAGGGTTCAGGAGGGCGCTGGAGCATGGAGCGGCTTCGGGCTCTACTGCTGACAGCGGTAAGACCAGGGTGGTTGGGGGCACTTTAAGCCTCCCAGCAGGTCCCCCGCGCCCTCCCAAACCTAAGGCGGACCCCTCCCGCCAGGGCCCCCTCCCTTCTGCACGCCCCCATCCCTACCATTTTCTCTCCTCCTGCGCCTCCTCAGGTCCACCTCCACGCCTGGGGCTCACGCGGCACCCCGTCACTGACACCGTTACTGCCAGGCCCCCCTCCCCGCCTTGCTCACCTCTTCTCCCAATCTCACTCCTACCCTGCCCCCACAGCGACCCTCCCAGAGCATCTACAGGCGGGTGGAAGGCCCCCCCCAGGGGCACCTGGAGGAGGAAGAGGAAGACGGGGAGGAGGGGGCCAAGCTGCCGGCCCACTTCTGCCCCATGGAGCTGAAGGGCCCTGAGCCCCTGGGCTCTAGACCTGGGCAGCAAAACCTCATACCCTGGGCAGCAGCAGGACGCAAGGCTGCCCCCTACCTGGTCTTGACGGCCCTACTGATCTTCACTGGGGGTGAGAGTCATCCCCTTGCCCCCGAGGAAGGGCCTGGGGCCGGGAGAGATTTCTGGAGTCCAGAGGGAGGCACTAGGAGAATCCCCATCTTGCCACCCGCCAGCCTTCCTCCTGGGCTACGTGGCCTTCCGAGGGTCCTGCCAGGCATGCGGGGACTCCGTGTTGGTGGTCAGCGAGGACAACTCTGAGCAGGGCCTGGACTCCCACCAAGGCACGCTGTACTGGAGTGACCTCCAGGCCATGTTCCTGCGGCTCCTGGGGGAGGGGCACCTGGAGGACACCATCAGGTAAGATCAGCCCGGCCCCTTCCTGGCCTGCAGGGTCCTCTCCTCACCTACCCACACTGCCTCCCTCCCTACGTCCTCCTGCCTGTGCAGTGGTCCTGGGAGGGGAGGAGCTTCCACCTGAGAGTCCAGGAGGTTACAGCCCTGCGGAGCTTCCCGAGTGGCAACAAAAGTTGTGGCATCAACAGGAGGGAGACAAACCCAGAAGCTTCCTGACTGCTGCCCCCAGAGGCCTGGCTGTGGTCTGTGGGAGCCAGGGGCTCTGTGAAGGGGCATTTCAGGAAAACCAGCAAACAGATGGGTGCAGGCCCCATCTATACCTGGCAGGGGGGTGCCAAGCATGCAAGGATGAGCACGCCCACAGCACAGGAAAATGGCTTGTGTCCTTTCATCCCGCCTCGGTCACTGTACGCACTGTCCCACTGTCCCAGTGTTGCTGTGGGTCCCAGGGTTTCTAAGTGGTCACGTCAGCTGCACAGAGTAGAAGACACGAGTTGTCTTTTCCAATCCTTATTCATTTATTTGTTTATTTACATGTATTTATTTTGCAGTCCTGGAGACTGAACTCATGGCTTTCACACTAAGCTACATCCCCAGTCCTTCTCTGAGACAGGATCTTGCTAACTTGCCCAGACTGGGGTGAAACTTGCAATCTTCCTGCCTCTGCCTCCCAAGTGCTAGAACTACAGATTGTGCCACCACACCGGGCTCCCACCAATCCTCATACCTTTTATGCCCTTTTCATTTCTTATTGCATTGGCGATGTTGACAGCAGGTGTCCTTGCCTACTTCCTGATGTCAATAGGAATCTTCTAATAACACTTCATCAGGGTGTGAACTTTGTTGCAGGCTTTGGATGGCATTCTTTTTTTTCTCTAATACTGGGGATTCAATCTGGGTATATCCTCAGCCACTTATTTTTTTATTTATGATACTAGGAATTGAACTCATTTACACTGAGCTACATCCCCAGCCCTTTTTCTTTCTCTCTCTCTCTCTCTCTCTCTCTTTCTTTCTTTCTTTCTTTCTTTCTTTCTCTCTTTCCTTCTTTTGACAGTGTCTCAGCATGTGTTCCAAGCTGGCCTCAAACTCATTATGCAGCCCAACCTAGCCTCAAACTCCTGCTCTCTTCCTGTTTCAGCCTCTCAAGTGCTAAGATTAAAGGTGTGTGCCAGTACACCTGGCTTATTTTATTACTTTTAATTAATTAATTTGCAGTAGTGGGTATTTTAAATCCAGCATCTTTGCAGTGAGTTATATCCCCAGTCTTTATTTTTAATTTTGAGAAAGGATCACACAAAGTCACTAAATTGCCCAACTAGACTCAAACTCTCAATCCTCCTGCCTCAGCCTCCCGAGTGCTGGGATTACAGGCATGCGCCACCATGCCTGGCAACCTTGCCTTTTAAAAGATCTCAACTCTATGGCACTGAAGGAGTTTGTTGTTTTGTTTTCTCAAGCAGTGCTTGGTGGTCTAGATGCAGGAAAAACAGGTTGATGGTTGGACAGGCCCAGGGGTAGGTTGCGTCCTGTGGGTGACATCGCAGGCCAGGGAGGTGAGAGGCTCAAAGTTAGGGGGACAGCAGAGACATGGTGCATGGCTCTAGGTTGGATGAACAAGGAAGAGGAGCTGACAGACTTGGAGAAACTGGACAACCTGGAGAACTTGCTGGGGTTCAAGAGCAGGACCAGGAGAGGGAAGAAAGGAAGCAGAACCGCAAAACGTCTGGCCAGCCTTGGAGACAGAGCTGATAAACTCCGTCCTATTTAACTTGGGGTCTGCAGCGCTGAGCATAGTGTCTGGCACTCAGCGTCCATTCAGTAAGCCCCCAATGGACAAATATTCCAGAGGTGGAAAAACCCAGAGAAGTGGCCGAGAATTTCCGTGGCTGCATTGGAAATGACATTGGTGATGCCGTTCATTCATTTATCCAACAGATATTTACTATGTGACTGGTAGTACACTAAGCTGGTGATCACTTGCTATAGCAGAGACCAAAGCAGTCCAGCCTTTCTCTCTTGGAACATATGCCCCATTGGAGGAAATCAGTACTAAACTTTCCATCGCATCAGTGACCACAGGACTCTAACAGGGATCACGGCTTTGAAAGAAGAGTGCTGGATGTTAGGAATGACTAGAACAGAGGACCTGGTTTACACCGGGAGTCAGGGAAGGCTTCCTTGAAGAACTGCAGGATGCATTGTTTGCCAGGCAAAGAGTGGGCAGAACAGCATTTCAGGCCAGAGAACAGCCTGGCAAGCTGCTGGTGTACAATGGATCTCTGGCAAGTCGGTAGCCCTTTGAAGGAAGTTGAACGTAGCCCATGTGGTGGCAATGCAGATGTGGCTCAGGCCCTAAAGGGCCTTACTAACTATATTAACTGTTTTGCAGTTTCATTCTAAAGGGAAAGGAGAGCTGGAGACTTTTGAGCAACTGAGTATCATGGCCAGATTGGAAGGGATTTTTTTTTTTCTTGAAGTCAGGTTCAAAAATGAATTATGTAAAAATGATGAATTATGTGCCAGGCACGGTGGTGCATGGTTATAACCCTAGTGCTCGGGAGGCTGAGGCAGGAGGGTTACTGCAAGTTCAAGGCTAACGTGGTCTACTTAGTGAGTTCAAAGCTAGCCTGAAGTACGTAGCGAGAACTTGTTTCAAACAGACAAACAAACAAA